TATTGTTTATATTAAATACACATCTCGACGGAACATAGATGTCGTTGATCTAAATTCTTCGAAGTAGAGGTCGCTACAGTGCGGCCGATGGGCGTTTCGTTGGCGTGGGGGTGTTGTTTTTCAGTGTCAAAGAAGACGAATGTCTCGGGGAAGGAAATATTTATACATTTTCTAGAAAGCGAACGTGTGTTTGCGGTTCGTGTGTCGTGAATCGATTCGGGAAAGCGTGTGTGTGTACGCATGTTACGACAAAGTTTACCGCACGGTAGGGTCTAGCTGCCGGACTGGTTGGCCTAACCTCAAAATCGGCAACGAAACCACTCGGTGGTACAATAGTCGTATGATCATATCAAAACACACGCTGTCCGTTTCGTTGAAATAACGGTTCATAGCGATAGGTTAGAAGGAAGAAGAGAAAGGGTGAAGGAGAAATTGATCGGTAGCAGCGATAACGGTCGAGGCGAGAAGCTTTCGAGAGTGTGTCGCGAAAAGATATATCGAAAATGAGTTCGCAGCAAAGTCCAGCCGCGTTGCAGTCGACGGTGGATCGCGAGAAGGTTTACACGTGGATAACCGAATTGTCGAATTCGGAGACGAGGGAGAACGCGTTGTTGGAGCTGAGCAAAAAGCGGGAAGTGGTGCCAGATTTGGCGCCGATGCTCTGGCACTCGTTCGGTACGATCGCGTCGTTGCTCCAAGAGATAATCAACATATACCCTGCCATCAATCCAGCCACGTTAACCGCGTATCAGAGCAACCGGGTGTGCAACGCGTTGGCGCTGTTGCAATGCGTTGCCAGTCATCCAGAAACCAGGTCGTCGTTCTTGCAGGTGAGTCTACCTGCAAACGTACCGAGTGAGCGTACGGTTCTTCAACGAGGCTTTCTTTCAGGCGCACGTGCCGCTCTTCTTGTATCCGTTTCTGCACACGGTCAGCAAGACGCGTCCGTTTGAGTATCTTCGATTGACGAGTCTGGGAGTGATTGGAGCACTGGTAAAAACCGACGAGCAAGAGGTAATTACGTTTTTGCTCACCACGGAGATCATCCCGCTTTGCCTGCGCATCATGGAGAGCGGCTCCGAGTTGAGTAAAACTGTGGCCACGTTCATCCTGCAGAAGATTTTGTTGGACGACAGCGGCCTTTCGTACATCTGTCAGACGTACGATCGGTTCAGTCACGTCGCCATGATTTTAGGGAAAATGGTCTTGTCTCTGGCCAAAGATCCCTCTGCTAGGTTATTGAAGCACGTGGTCAGATGTTACCTCAGACTCTCGGACAATCCGAGGTAAGGATAAATAATAATAAATAATAATAATAATGGAGAGGGTGAAAGAAAGAAAGAAAGAAAGAAAGAAAAGACTTATCCATTTTGATTGTTCGACAGGGCACTGTTGGCTCTCAGACAGTGTTTACCCGACCAATTGAGAGACAACACGTTTGCAACTTGTCTGCAAGAGGACGCGTCTACGAAACACTGGTTAAATCAGCTGTTAAAGAATTTGGAAACTGGCCCTCAACCGGGACCTCCGGCGCAACCGGGTCAGCAAGATCCAAGAACTATCGGCATGTCGCCGCTTGCTTCTTAAGGCGCGCTCGCCTTCCTTTCGCCAAAAAGGAGAAACGCGCGGATACGCGTACAACTCGTACAGATGCGGCCAACGCGGTCGGATGGAGGTGTGTTCAACGAGCGATAGAAACGAAAAGGATGCGAAAACGGATGGTCGTCTTGTGGATCGCAGAACGACGGTGATGTCTAAAGTCAGACGAAGAAATCATCGAGTGCCGATTGGTGCCGAAAGAAAGGAATCGATGGGATTTGAATCGAAGCGAATGTACGCGTCATGTTACGCGAGATGTTGCGAAAAACTGTTCCTACGTTCTTCCGTATATTCTTTTTTCCTTTTCTATCTTGTTCCTCGACTTGCTCCCTACGTAAGTATTCCAATTTCCCCCCAAAATCTCGATAAACGCGCTCTAAGTTTGTAATTATACTTTATACAAAAATTGTAAATTAAAAATACAGGAAATATAGACGCGCGTGCGTGTATGTACGTGTTGCGTGTGTATACATGCGCGTACATACACATGCACACGTATTTGTACATATATTTTGTGTATTTTATTTTATTTTCTGTTTTATTGTCAAAATCGCCCCAGGTCTCCTCCGTGACTGACGTTTCCGCAAAGATCATCGCCGCGATGCAACCAACCAAATATACAAACGCAAACAGGATGCGTTGGCCTCCGTTTCAAGTTCTAGTTACGCTTTTGTCGTCCATTTTCTCGAGTTCGGCTACAGTTTCCTGCAAACGATGACAAAAAATGATGTAACCGTCATCCAGTATCCAGTGCGCGTAGGAATATTTTGCCTTCGAGACTCAGGACAATGATCGTCGTCCCACCTGTTGCCGTTTGCCGCCGACGATGGTGGCCGTCTTGCGCAACAAGCTGCGAATGACCGGCGTGTACAACTTTTCGTCACCGGGCTTGCGTTTGTTCGGCCCCGTGATCCACGAGACGAGTAGCCCGACGACGATCGCGGTTAGACAACCGACCCACGTGTACCAGAGGTACGACATTCTATAGAGGAAGAAGGGCTGCTCTCTGAAAAGGAACAAGAGGAAAGAAAACAAGAAAGAACAAATGGGGGTGAAAGGAGAATTTTGCTCACTTGATCGCTGTTTCGACGACCAACGTGAAATTGGTAGCGTGATTCTTGAGCGACTGCGGACATCCGTCGATGGATACCGGTTTCACGGGGAAATGAATCTTTCCGCTGGATATAGCGGCCTGCGTGCCAAACGAGATCCAGGCGACCAAATTTAAACTGACCAATCCGCCGACCAGTGCCCCCTGCGACATCAAATCGAGCGAGAGGAGGACACGATGGTATACGCATGTGTGGCATGATCGACAGAAAAGCAAGCGACAGTTTTAACAACACGTTACCGCGGAATTTGCGAATGGAAAGAACATGCCCAGCGTGAAGATTCCGAGCAGCGGTCCGGCTGTGATGCCCGATAAGCTTTTAGCTGCCTGGGAACAAACGAGAGGAGAGACAGAGAGGGTAGAGTATACGGAAGCTGCGGAACAGAATCTCTTCTACCTGAATCAATCCGGTGAGCTTCTCGACGAGGAAAACGAGCGTGACGCACAGAGTACCGGTCAACACCACCGTCAGCTTCATCACTCGACTGGCCGCCACTTCCGAGAGAGATACTCGCAGCCACGGCTTCACCATGTCCTCGTAAATGACGCCAGACATGGAGTTTAGCCCGGTTGACATTGTGCTGAAATGGAAAGAGGCGTTCGAAGAACGCGATAGACGCAGAGACGCAGAGCGCTAAATGGTACCTGAGCGCCGCGCTAAACACTCCCGCGACGAACAACCCGGGTAGCCCTGGAATCGACTCGGTCATTTCCATCACGAAAAACGGCAGCAGCTGATCCGGCTTTTTTATTTGCTGTAATGTTGCTTGCAAAGTGAGTTTAGTTTTGCGTAGTTGTTTTGAACAAGAGAGAGAGAGAAAGAGTTTCGATACCTTGGTCGTGATGGGGTCGCAGTCGTAGAACGCGGCAAAGATGACGATCCCGGTGTAGCAACTCAGCGAGACGATGGTAATTATGCCAACCGCCATGATAGCGATGGTTCTAGAGAAGGATAGAATACAAATTTCAGCAAATGGGATAAGTTGACACATTGTGAACGGGAGAATTCAACGTTGCAGATGGGGAACGCTATTTTGCATTGTAGAGGACACAACCCAGGCAACGTTATATATAATTTATATATTACAATGTTATATAATTTTTCAGGAAACAGGGAACTTGTTTTTTAACATATCACACCAGGAAACATTACTGGAGGTATTTTAATTTTATTTAATAAAATACCTCTAAAGTGAAAAATAATTAATAATTTTAACAATACACTTGTCAAATGCTATACATTCTCTGGAATCCTTTCAATCATGTATTAAATAATTCAAAAATAGGAGAAAATA